ACTTTCTTTGACCGACATGGTAAATATGTGCAAGTGCTCTTGACTGCTAATAAGAGGGTCAGCATGGATGGGAAGATTATTGGAGCCTTCTGCTTTTTGCAAATTGCAAGTCCTGAGCTTCAGCAAGCTCTGAAAGTTCAGAGGCAGCAGGACAAGAAAAGTTTTTCAAGAATGAAAGAGTTGGCTTATATGTGTCAAGAAATAAGAAATCCTTTAAGTGGCATACGTTTTACTCACTCACTCTTGGAGGCCACAGGCTTGACTGAGGATCAAAAGCAGTTTCTTGAGACTAGTGCTGCTTGTGAGAAGCAGATGATGAAGATAATAAATGATGCTGATTTGCGAAGCATTGAAGATGGGTGAGTTTGTTTGATCCTTTTGAATAAATCATTGAGGTTTTGGTTTTTCCTATGAAAAGCTAATGCATGAAGCTATTTGCTTTGAATTGCTGCTGCTTTTTTCTGGGGACACGCTCCTTTCGTCTTATACTTGGAAGGTTTGGAATGTAAATTTTGTTTACGAATATTTTTTGAACAGGACTGATTTTTGGAGTCTAAACTGGAAATAGTCGCTGAGTTTATATAAAATATCAATGCATTATTGACGGTGATGAACTTTGGCCATGTGCTTTCATTCTTCTCCATAACATTTCAAATACAATGGAAAAAGTAATGTTTTTGAAAAATTTTGACTGCTTTCTTCTTCCTTTTTTTACCTAGCTCTAAGCTAAGCCTCACGCTACTGACTCATGTACGTGCGGCTGACTTATTTAAGATGACCTATTCACTTAATTCCCAATTCCCAATTCCCAATTCCCAATACGCAAGTGTGACTTGGAGTACAAACCAAGTACAATGAATCTTTACACTCCCTCTTATTGTTATCTAGCCAGTTTCTTGTGTCCATAGATGTGTTTTAAAAATATTTTGGTCTCGTTGGCTTGGCTGCTTTGAAGCAGTCCGAACAAATAGTCGTTTAACAATCTTATCTTTCTTCGCTGACATGAAGAAAATTAACTCAAGAGTAACAGTGTTTCCTGCGTCTAAACTGCTGTGGCACAAAGAATTTTAGTCTCTCACCTATTTGCTTAGCACAATTCTGCTATTGGTGAAAACGTGGTCTGATCGATTCTTTTCTTCTAATTAGTTCATTGGAGCTTGAGATGGCCGAATTCTTTCTTGGAAGTGTTATGAATGCTGTTGTTAGCCAAGTAATGATATTGCTGAGAGAACGAGGTTTGCAATTGATTCGTGATATTCCAGATGAAATTAAAACTCTGGCTGTCTGTGGTGATCAGTTGAGAATTCAACAAGTATTGGCTGATTTCTTGTTAAATATGGTGAGAAATGCTCCATCTCCAGAGGGTTGGGTGGAGATTCACGTTCATCCAAGTCGGAAGCAAACTGCTGGAGGACTAACCCTTGTGCACAACGAATTTAGGTATTCTTTTTATAGGTTCCTATCTGTTTTGAGTATGTTCTGTGGATAATGCATTGTCCTATTCTGAGATGGTTTCCTGATACGGCTTTCTTTCCAAAATTTCGTCTCTGTTAACTCTTCAGAGCTCTTGAGGGTTAATTAGCTCCAGAAAACTTATGGTTATCAGATTTGATGCATGAATTAGATGCTAGAATGATGGATTGCTGTTATCATAGAATGATCGATTGCTGTTATCATGGATTGTCAGTGTGGGATACTGACAAATTTTAAGGTTCTGTTTCTCTCAATCAATATGTGTGTTTATCGAATGACTGTCCAATGTCTTTGGAGAATCATCACCAGATGTGGAGATTGAAACTGCGTCATGTTTCAAACAAATTTGTTTCGACCACTACAAGCTTGCTTGAGGCGATTTGTGACCTTTCTGGTTTTCAAAAGTATTGTATTATACTGTGTATTCTATTTTTCAGATTTCTACAAACTTCCGTTGAACAAGGAGGCAAGCTGGGCAGTGAAGTCATGGGAAATAAATTTATAAATTTTATTATTTACTTGATAGATAAATGATGTGTTGCTCATATATCTTCTTTTGCTCAGTTATATTGAATTATGCCATAGTCAAAATTAAGGGAGAATCATATACTTTGATATACATGCTCCATTGGATAGCTTTATATTTCTCTACCTGGTATTAAATTTCCTTGACATACACCAGATATTAAAGAACTCTTGTCTAAGTCCTGTCTTGGATGTAATCTGGGGAAATGATGGCCTATTTTGTTATAGGGGGACTTACAGAAGCTTCTCAAGCTTTCAAACTTTTCAGTATAGTTGGCCTATAATGAAAGTAAATGCTAATTTTCTTGATAGTTTTCTCAATATCGGTAATTATGTAATCCTGCTATATCACTATGCATGCCTCTTCGGCTGCTTTGAGAATGCACTGATCGGTCCCCATACTCGTAGACCTCATGAGCAAATTAGCCTCAGTAAAAAATTAGCTGCATATGTCTATTCAGAAATTAGAAGCGTACGATAGTGCACGTAGGCAAAAGCTGTGTGGACTTCTTGTACCTTTACCTACAGATTGGATCTTTTGGCATGTATGATGAATGCAAATCTAATTATATCATTTGTTCCCTTTATGAAGGATTGTGTGTCCTGGTGAAGGTCTACCTCCTGAGCTGGTTCAAGACATGTTCCATAGCAGTCGGTGGATGACCGAGGAAGGTTTGGGGCTGAGCATGTGCAGGAAGATTTTAAAGCTCATGAATGGTGAAGTGCAATATATTAGAGAGTCTGAAAGATGTTATTTCATCATTACTCTTGAACTCCCCATGCCTCAGAGATCAAAGGATATTGACTAGCTTTCTGGACCTCAAAATCATAGTTCAAATGTTTCTCAACTTCAACCAGTCCCTCTTCCCTTTGTCTCTCCAAGGGCATATGCTAAGTATAAGTTCTTGACTAACACATGGATGGACCGAACCTGGCATTGAATTCTGCAAATGGGTACTCGATCAATCAACTTCCACGACTGATTTTGGGATATGTCACTTCTTAAAGTTCCCAACTTTAATATCAACTTCTCAAGAGTTGGACGATGATCTTTTAGCCAGAGATGTAACCTCAGATCTCTTTAGACCTCCTACCCTAATGCAACAGTATGATGCGCCTTTGAGACCAAGAAGTGCTACCTGATTGCTGTGTAATCAAGGCTGCCTTTGGGAAAAGCTGTCTCCAATGTAGATTCATGATTGAAATGCGTCGTATGGACAGTTGAGCTGCGACGTGCTCCCACTGTAAGCATGTGTCATAGATACATATGGTCTATACGGCGTCACAGAGTCAACAATGATTGTAACAGTATCTCCTCAGCATTACCCTCTAAGTTATAGCTTGTAATATATCATGTAATAAAGCCAACAATCTAGCTTTTAGGAAAGAGGAGGTCTTGGGCGAGACAATCTGATCCATAGATGTTTCCTCTTTGATTGGTCAGGAGTTAATACGAAGGCCTTGTCTGTGAAGTTAACTAATCGTCCTCATGCCTTATGTTTGAAAAGTTTTTGGTACCTTATACATAAATTATGCATGTGAAAGGGCTTGCAAAGGTAGTGATGAAATTCGTGAAGTGGGTACCGATTCATTATGCCATTGAAGCGTCAGGCAGTCTTGATGTACTGGCTGGGCATCGGTACTTGCATCGGTAAATCAATCCAAGCTTTGAGGGTGCAATGATTGATTCGTTCATGTTGGGACCGGTTGAACATTATCAAGGTGTGTACTTGCTCGGCTTCTTTCTCTGGTTCACTTGCAGTTAGGTTGGGGGAAAATTGTCCAAAAAATCCTAAACTTATTGCACTTTTGCCAATTCAATCCTAAACCTTTTAAATTTATCAATTCAGTCATAAATCTTTTCACTTCTTGCTAATTGAGTCCATCCGATCAATTTTGGCTGTCCGGCACTGACGTGTTTGCCGGCCGGCGCCGACGTGGCCGCCGGTCAGCGTCGGCCATCCAATCAACACTGACGTGGTAATTTTTTAATATATTCTTTTGAATTTTTTGATCTTTTTTTTTTTCTCCCTTCTTCCCTCTGGCGAAGCTTGCCCCCGCCGGCCACTGGCGAGGGCAAGCCTCACCCACCGCTGCTAGGTCGACCTCGCCCAACCAAGGCGAGGCCGACCTGCGATGGTGCTGGCTGGCCTCGCCATAGTTGGTCGATGCTCGACTTCGCCTAGCCAAGGTGAGGCCGGCTAGCGACTTGCAAGGTCGAGCCTCGACCAGCCATGGCGAGACCGATCTCGCCCAGGTAGCGGCGGCGAGGCTCACCCTCGCCAGTGGCCGGCGGGGACGAGCTTCACCAGAGGCCGGCGAGGTCGACCTCGCCAGCTCACGCCTCTGGCCGGTCGCCGGACCGGCCATAGGGAAGAAGGGCTGAAAAAAAAAAAAGAAAAGAAAAAAATATTAAAAATTTCGAAAAAAATATTTAAAAATTGCCATGTCAGCGTTGGCCAGACTGCTAGCCGCCACGTTAGCGTCGGCCGGCCAAAATTGGCCGGATGGACTCAATTGGCAAGAAGTCAAAAGATTTAGGACTGAATTGGCAAGAAGTGAAAATGTCGAGTACTGAATTGGCAAACTTAAAAGGTTTAGGATTGAATTGGCAAAAGTGCAATAGGTTTAGTACTTTTTGACAATTTTCCCATTAGACTGGCCATCCCTTTTGTTTATGTTTCAAGTGGAAAGTCTATTATCAGTTTTTTGTTTGCATGAGGAAAAGGTGATCACCATTTCTTCTTTGCTTTCCAGTACCTTCTAGATTTTGATCCTGGAAGGTCTGGCGGACTTGTTCTCAAATTTCAGCCCCCCGCCCCCAACCCGGTGGCTTGTTTACCGAGAACTGGGTTGGAATTAATCGTTAATTTTGAAAAAAGACCCTGTCATCTTAAGTTTAATTGCATCTAACAACTTGATGTTCTCCAATTAGGAAAGTCACATTGAGGCCTTAACACACGCATCCATGGAGTAGTCTGTGTGGTCTATGACTAATATATATGTTGTCTGATAACACTGGAGGACGCTTGGGTGGTGGTGCTGAAGGAGGTGGTGTAGTTGTAGGTGGAGCATTTGATAAGGATGGTGGAGCAAGATCGAATGGCAGAGCTGGAGGAGTATTTGATCAGGTTGCCGATCTAGGAGTTGGTGGTGGCTTTGGAGTTGGGGTAGGAACTGGTGGTGGTAGTGGGTGGATGAGGATTTGGCGGAGCTGGAGCTGGAGGAGCTGGGGTGGGCTGGGTTGGAGGAAAATGTGGTGTCCCACGAGTGGGATGTGGCCAAGGTGATGGTGCTGGAGGAGTCACTGATGCCTTTCGGACATGGAAAAAGTGACGGTGTAGGAGTTGGAGGTGGTGCTGGTGGTTTTGGGAGCGGAAAAGGTGTTGTTGGAGCTGGCGGTGGCAAAGGTGGTGGTAGTAGAGAAGGGGTTGGCAGTGGCTTTTGGACGCAGAGAAGAAGGTGTAGGATTTTGGAGGGCAAAAAGGTGGGTTGAGTAGGAATTGAACCTGGTAAGGCAATGGTGCTGGAGGTTCTTTGGGTTGGAAGTGATGCAGATAGGAGTGTTGGCAGCGGCCTAGGAGGTGGCAAAGTGACGGGGAAGGTGGTGGTGTCGGGGGAGAAGTCGGTGGTGGCAGTGCTAGTTTCGGTGGAGGCATAGGAGGTGGCAGAGGCGGTGCTGGAGGAGAAGGATTCAAATGTGGCATTGGTGATGGGAAAGGTGGTGGAGGATTTTGGTGGTGGTGGTGGTGGTGGTGCAAGTTATGGCTTTGGAAGAATAGGCGGGGGGGCTGTCGGCGGCAGTTTCTTGTGGCGGAGGTGGTTGCCAGTGGTGGTGTAAGCGGTAGCTATGGAAGTGGAGGAGGCGCGGGCGGCGATGCTAGTGGCGGCGGCGGCGGGCCTCTGAGGTGGATCTTAAGCTGTGAAGTCCAGCAACTTGTAGTATCTTGCTTGCCTTTCTACTGAGTAGTCTTCTAACAATTTTTAGCTTCAATGAGCTCGCACCGTCCTGATTACCAATTCAGACATTTTGTAGCCACAGACCAAGTTTCTACACATTGTCATAATGCATCTTTAAAGAAGTTTTTATTTTATTGGAAATTCTTAATTTCTTTCTCTTTTACTCGGTTATATTATCTCGTTAATAGGAGTGAAATGGAGACACAGGTGTTCGATTATTCTCCATCTAGTGTCGACCAATAGGCATAATTTAGTTATTGCTTTCATTATACAAGACAGACTTCCAAAACTGGATTTTGTCATCCTTATCTTAATCAATAAACACAATCCACACGATATATAACTTTTAATATTATATAAAAAAATTCGATTTATGTGTGCACGCGATTCCTTCTTCTTTTGTTTTCCATATGCCCCCAGGACAGGGACAATGATTAATGACTAATTAGGGGATGATCGTAAGTTCTTGGTAATACTAAACTTTGTCATGAAATATAATTAATGGAGCGAATTTTCACGTGATCATGATGCAAGCCCTAACATGCTCAATTCAAATACCCATTAATACGCTCGTCAGTCAAAACGTTCTCTAATCTTGGGACGAGAGCAAAGTCCATCTCCATTGATGACAGGACCTGGGGGTGGCTTGGGGCCCCTAGGCAACTATATGCCCCTTAAGTTTGCTTGTATATATTTCTTTTCTTAAAAATAATGATCCGAAACACTTGTTAAGCAATCAAATATAGAAAGATTGCAAATTTTCGACACGGCGACCGTCCTTGTGACGTGCATAATCAACTACATGTCCAAGGGTGCTTGTCCACGAGACCCGGTCACTGTCACAGTTCACATTTTTTGGAAAATTCAAGAGGGAAAAAAAACAATATCACCATGAATAGGAGAGCAATCATTATGATGTAGCAGTAATGGGCTAGCACTTGCACGCAATAACTCTCAAAACCAAACCCATCTAGCGATGGCCAATGAATTATGACCTACACCCGCAGTCAACACATTCAATGTTGCCGCTCAAGCCAAGCTGTTACTGTTGGTCGAAGGACAGCACCACAGCTTTAACGATGCAGCTGTCTTATCCTCCTCCTTTCCGCTTTTTTCTTCTGTGTTTCCGGTCAGGTTCTACTATTTTAAGTCCAACTGCACGAATGCAGTAATGGGCGGGACTTGCCATTTCAAGCGATGCCCATTAACTTCCAAGATCGACTCTGCAAGGTGAAGGTGAGAGTTGGGTTCGTTGGCAGTTGAGTGAAGTAAACAGAGTATCTTCTGATTCGTGAAGGAACACGGACTTCACAGTTCTTCTTCCTCGTGTTCATTTAATAATGCTGATCCCGCGTCATCCGAAAAGTCCCTCGACCGGTCCCTTCTCATGCCACGCAATCGATCCGAGCACAGTTTCTTAGCCATGACCCAAGTGGTTAATAGAATTTCGTGCGTTGGAACTCTAGTGCGAGTTTTATTTTCACGGGTTGGTGCTGATTTCGCAGCGACGTTCAATGTTGCACGCCCCAGAGCAAAGGGTACTTCATCTTTCAACCATAGCATACACGAGATAGAATCTAGATCACTCATCGTTCAGCTACACGGTAGTCGTTGACCTTTCATTTGTCCCATGTCAAATCAGCCTTGATTCGTTCTCTGCATTATAGACCCTTCTTTTCCTCAGGCTCTCTTGGCATACTTGTTCGTTCTTTGGACCCGTTTTTACAGACACTGCAAGTTTTTAGCATTAGTGACTTGTTAAACCAAAGATCGGTGTTGTTCTTTTCCTGCTCCACTCTGAGTTGGTTGTTCTCATCTTCGGTTGCGAAGCGTCGTGGCCATGTCTAGGAGCGGTGGTCGAATTCATCGGACATTTTCGTGAAGAAATGAACAACTTTTCTGGATTCTTTCACAGTATTCATCATTGAGTCATTCAGTCAATTTCTTCCTGTACCAGAATCACATTCTTTTGGCCACTTGCTCTGCCGAATTCTTTGGCTTCGAATTCAGTGAGAGAACAGAGAGCATAGGGACGTACCAGTTCACATTGATATAGCAAAGAAATTCCAGTGTACTTTGCATTTCTACTTTTCTTCTTGACAATGAGTAGATTCTCTGCTAGACAGCCATTCATTGGGTTAACTTCTACAACTTTGATTCTCTTGGTCCTGCTCCGAAGTTGCTTTGCCAAGAGCGTTCCTGCAAATTTCGTTTTCGGAGATTCCTTGGTTGAAGCTGGAAACAACAACTACATCCCGTCACTTTCGAAGGCTAACTTCATCCCCAATGGGATCGACTTCGGCGGCCCGACGGGACGGTTCACAAACGGAAGAACAATCATCGACATCATAGGCAAGTTCTCGTCAAACTGTAAACACAACGCTGGATTCTCTGCTTATCGTATTCTGAACTACTCATCGTTTTTCCTCTTGCAGGCGAAGAGTTGGGTTTCGAGGATTATACTCCTCCATACCTGGCTCCGACGACGGTTTGGCCCGTCGTCTTGCAGGGGGTCAACTATGCTTCCGGTGGAGGCGGAATCCTTAACTCCACTGGACAGATTTTCGTAAGCATTGTTTTCTTCTCGAATCGTGATTGTATTTATCAAATCCGCGACACAATTATGGATAATCTTTTTTCTGCAGTAGAGCAATTATACCCAAAAAGAAACGCGAACATTAATATGCAATTGATTAGATAAAGTAATACACTTTTTAACGGGATGACAGGGCGATCGAATAAACTTGGATGCGCAGTTAGATAATTTCGAGAATACAAGGCAAGACATAATCTCGGGCATCGGCATTTCTGCAGCCACGGAGCTGTTCAAGACAGCCCTCTTCTCGATCACCATCGGATCGAATGATTTCATCAATAACTACTTGACGCCAGTGATCTCCGCAGCTGAGCAGAGATTGATATCTCCAGAAGTTTTCGTGAACACAATGATTTCCAGATATAGGCAGCAACTTCTGGTATATTTCGCGCATTCTAATTCCCGAAAGTTATATTTGTAATAATACTTTACAATGATGGTTAATGTTATTTGCAGAGACTTTATGATCTGGGCGCGAGGAGAATCGTCGTAGCAAATGTAGGGCCGATAGGTTGCATACCGTTCGAGAGGGACACCAATGGCGCTGACACAGATTGTTGCATTGACTTCCCGAATCAGATGGCTCAGTTATTTAATAACCAATTGAGAAGCCTTGTTGTAGACCTCGGCTCAAGTTTGGAAGGATCGAAATTCGTTTATGCCGACGTGTATCGCATCGTACAAGACATTATCGACAATTATATATCATACGGTACAGTGCTGCATTGCAATCTCTACTACTTTATTACTTCTTCCTTTGTCTGCATAAGATTGGCTAATGGACGACCATCCGTTCTTAATTTTGATCGAAAACCTTTCTCGCAGGTTTCGAAAACCCAAATTCGGCATGCTGCTACACTGCAGGTCAGTTCGGGGGTCTGATACCTTGCGGTCCGCTTTCTAGTGTTTGTCAGGACAGGTCCAAGTATGTCTTCTGGGATCCATACCATCCTTCGGATGCTACAAACGTCATAATCGCGAAGCGTCTTATGGATGGTGGAGTTCAAGATATCACGACGATGAATATTCGGCGACTCGTCGAATCCGGATCAAATAAGTAGCGCAAAGTAAGACATATATGGATGGATATAGCTAGTGATTGATTCGGGTTTCACCTAATTGGGTTGGAGAAAGAGTATGGACTGTGCTTACATAGAGGAAACGGTAAATCGTGCACAGGTATTCAACAGTATTCATTTCACATGATATATGTAACTTGATACCTGGGGAAAAAGATGTTCGTCTCATGCATGGAAGCTCAAAACAGCGTGTTTCATCAGATTGTGTTCATTGCTTCATGGAACCAAGAAATTGCTGTTATAAGTGCCCATTTTGATTGATACTTGTTGATCAAGACAATCCGTGAGAGGAGATGTTTAAGAAGTAACTCGAGTAAACATCGAGAGTGGCCACATACCTTTCGCACTCGGATACAACTCTCTGTTGAGTAGTTTTGGAAGACCAGAATTATATACTTTGAACTCCCTTTAGATGTCCTGGTCGTCCTTCAACCACGGCTCTTACGAAGTAACCCAAATTTCGAATAAACTTTTGACCACGAATCAAAGCAAATGTGCGATGGCAAACAGAACGCTATTCCATGCTCGTAAATTTACGAAAGCGGTTGCGAATGTCAAATAAGGTTGATGACAGAAAAGTGACAGGTAAATTCCTTATTCGATAGCTTGTTAGTAAGTGTTACCAACTCTCAGCATGAAGTAGTGAGCAATCGTTATGATGTAGTGATGGGGGGTTGCACTTGGATGCAATAACTCGCCAGACCAACCCTTCTTGGGATGGCCAATGATTCATAAAGTACAGACGCAGTCAATACATTAAATGTTGCTGCTCAAGTCAAGCTTTTGCTGTCGGTCGAAGAACTGCATCACAGCTTTAACTATGAAGTTGTTTTATTCTTCTTCTTTTCTTTCTTTCTGCGTTTCCGGTTAGGATTTACTATTTTAAGTTCAATGACATGGATACAGTAATGGGTGGGACTTCCATTTTTGAGTGATCTGCATCAACTTCCAAGATCGATTCTGCAAGTTGAAGGGGAGTTGGTTTCGCTGGCAGTTGAGTGTAAGTAAACAATTTCTCTTTCGGTTTGTGAAGGAACCGGGTCATCCGAAACTCCCTCAATGAGTCCCTTCTCGTGCCGGGTAATCGGTCGAGCACAGTTTCATAGATCCGTGCCTCCTAGGCAGTCCCAAGAGAATAAGCAAATGCAGGGATGCGAACCCGACTCTTGAGCGAGAAAGGCGGACACTTTTAAGTATCGACGGTGGAATTCTTAGCCATACCCTAGAGGTTTATTAGATAATGTGCACTGGAACTCTAAGTTGAGTTCTATTTTTCACGGGTTGATTCTGATTTGGCGGTGACACTCAATGCTACCCACACCCTCGATTCAATAGGCTCAGAGCCCCAAAGTGAACGGCGTTTATTCAATAACGTAGCCTGCATCGGATGCAATTTAGATCACTCTATTGTTCATCTATAATGCTGGCCATTGACCTTTCGTTTGTCCCCTGTTAGATCACGGTCTCGATTCGTTCACTGCATTTTAAAAACATACAGCAAGATTTTAGCATTATTAACTCGTCAAATCGAAGATTATCACTGTTCTTCTCCGGCTCCAATCCGGGTATTGTGGTTGATCTTATGCTCGATGGCGAAGCATCGTGATTGCATCTAGGAGCGGCGATTGTTCCTTCGCCGAATTCATCGGCATTTTCATGAACAAATGAACAACTCTAACTTCATACACAGTGTACAGCATCGAGTCATTCTGTCAAAATTCTTCCTTCACCAGAATCACATTCTCTCGTAGACAGCCATTCATTGGGTTAACTTTTACAGCTTTGCAGAGACTTCACGATCTGGGTGCAAGGAAAATTGTCGTAGCGAATGTGGGGCTTGCATACCGTTCGAGAGGGACATCAACGGAGCCACTACAGACAGTTGCGTGTTGGCAAGTTACCATCTTTCGTGTCAAATTATCGACTTTTATTTGATTATTTATCACATATAGGGTAGCGTACTAATATTGAGTCGCGTGAAATGACCAAACTTAATTTGAAAGAAGTATCAACTTTCGGTTGAGTTAAAAAGTAATGTTAGGTTATTGATATTTATTTGAGCGATTTTCCGCTTCTCACCTTTTGTTGAAGTTATTTACCAAATCCCCCGTACCAAATTACCAACTTGAGTTACTAATCAGCTAGTTCTTTTCAACTTACCAGCTTTCATGCAAGTTACAAAACCAAATATATTGGATTTATTGATTATAAATTACCTAACTTTTTTTTTATTGATGAATGTATCGATTGGTTTTATGTTATTAACTTTTATTTGAGGTGCTTGCTAACGTTTTATCTAATTTTTTTTGGTCGGAACATTTTATCTAATTTAACCGTGTCCAAATTAGGACTCTTAAATCGAACTACCCACTTATTTTCCAATAAAGTTACCAGCTCTAATTTGAGTCACTCCATTTGATCGAATTCGAATAACCAACTTCTTCAATAACTTGGCAACTTTTATTAAAATCACCGACCCTTAAATGGAATCACCAATTTTATTCGAGAGTACCCACTAGTTTTATCTTATGTTATCCTAATAAATTACCCCCTTTTTATAAAAAAATATCAACTGTCATAAGGAATGACTAACTTTAATTCGAGAGTACCCACTAGTTTTAGCATCTGATCAACTACAAATGACCAAACTTTCTTTAAAAAAAAATTATTTACAGATTTTCTCAACTTTACTTGTCAAATTTTTTTATATTAAACTATTATAAATCTATTTGAGTTATTATTAATTTATTTTAGGGATAAGTCAACGGGTCAGTCTCGGCACGCACATCAATGCCCGCAAATCGTCTGAACAAAATCCATCCATTCGTCCCCCTTCTTCCCGACATCCGATTCCAGTCTCCCGGCGACCACCCACCCCGAAGGCCAAGCATTTCGTCGAACACCTTCCGGTGAAGGCGGCGATGGCCGATCCCCAACCCTTGATTCTCGTCAAGCGCGATCCGGACGGCGTCGCCTCCGTCACGATCAACCGGCCCAAGTCCCTGAACTCGCTGACCCGCCCCATGATGGTCGACCTCGCCCGGGCCTTCCGGGGCCTGGGCGCCGACGGGTCGGTGCGGGCCATCGTGCTGTCCGGGTCGGGCCGCGCGTTCTGCTCCGGCGTGGACCTCACGGCGGCCGAGGACGTGTTCAAGGGCGACGTCAAGGACCCGGAGACGGACCCCGTCGCCCAGATGGAGCGGTGCCCGAAGCCGATCATCGGCGCGGTCGGCGGGTTCGCCGTGACGGCCGGGTTCGAGATCGCGCTCGCCTGCGACATCTTGGTGGCCGCTAAGGGAGCCAAGTTCATCGATACCCATGCCAGGTAAGCGATTCCTCTCCTTCTCTGCTCCGCGTCCTGCATCGGATTTTTAGCGTCTTGTTCATTTGAGCTGGGACTGGAAGTGAATGAGTGAGAACGAGTTTGCTTCAGGCAATTGTGTGATCGCTTCGTGGTCTATGTCATTAGACTCAGCTTCATGTGAATTGCTGTTGACAATGTGCGTGTGTACGAGTTCTTGCGGGTTTGTGTCTCGGATAAGAAGTTTTGTCGTCAACTCGTCGGGCGGCTGCTATCTTACCTCGCTTCTCGGTTTGATGGGATCTGATGGTGCTCCCTGGTTGTGGGGTACGTCAGGTTAATACATAGATACTCAGTGATGATGTGCTGAGGTCACTTTGCTTGTTTTGTAAATCATGGCAACATGCCAAACACATGGGGTTTTTCAGAAATGATAGTCCTCCAAGGACTGATGCCTTGAACGGGGGTTTTCCATGTTTCTTCGAGAGACCAATTTCTCTTCGTAGCTTGTCGCATCGAAGTTCAATCTATCTTAATTGCTATGTGAAGTGTCGCTCTCCACAAACACTTAGAAGTTTTCAATGAATAGCTGTTTGTGCGGTACGAAGGCTTTGTGTTAGAATTGTGACAAGATGAACTTGGGTATGACAAGTTACGATGAAAGATTGGTTCCTCAAGGGACATAGAAGTGGGGTCCAAGAGCTTGGACTTCTATTTTTGTGAGAGGAAATAGATTGCTGGTCTTTGGCTAAAGAAAGACCACTCGGTGGTTTTCCCCTTCATCGTAGCAGAGTACTCTTTTCAATGTTTTTGTTCTCGATCCATTGCGGTGGCCTACTTTCTGAGTAATTCACAGAAGCTGCTTCATTGGTTGAAGTATCAAATGCGTGCTGTTGCAGGTTCGGAATCTTTCCTTCGTGGGGTCTCTCTCAGAAGCTTGCGCGCATCATCGGACCCAATAAAGCTCGCGAAGTTTCTCTTACAGCCACGCCTCTTACTGCCGAGCAGGCTGAGAGATTGGGCTTTGTAAACCATGTGGTTGAAGAAGGCCAGTTGCTGAAGAAGGCACGAGAAATTGCTGAGGCCATCATCAAGAACAACCATGACCTGGTTTTGAGGTACAAGTCAGTCATAAACGATGGCTTCAAGCTGGACCTAGGCCATGCTCTGGCATTGGAGAAGGTAATTACAGCTCTTTAGTTTCCAGCATCTTTGGATCCATTAATTCTATGATGCATCTTTTGTGTGTATCAAGTCCATTAGGCTTTTTTGTCGGAGACATACTATTTAAGAAAGAGCTGGTCTTCAGTTCTATTGGTCTCTGCAAATTACAAAACTAGCTAATAAAACTAGAAGGGAAAAAGCCACCAAAAACCTCAAACTATACTCTCTGTGACACATTTACCCTGAACTTTTTTTTTTGTGACATCAAAAACTCCAAACTATGCCTATTGTGACACATTTACCTTAAACTTTTTCTTGTGACATATAAAACTCCTAATTTGTAACTATGTGACACATTTAACCCCTCCCTCCCGTGAAGGTTCTGTTCTATGATTTTTCGGCCAAAAAAACCTCGTTTTTGTTATACTTAAGCCACGTAGGGGCCATGTCAACACCGTTTGCTTTCCAGCATCCATGTAGGCAAATTTTTAACGGTGCTCATTGACGGAACTTTGATTGGACGATAAATGTGTCACATAGGTAGAAGTTTGGGATTTTTTGTGTCAAAGAAAAAAGTTTAGAGTAAATGTGTCACGGTGATTATAGTTTGGGGTTTTTAGTGGCTTTTGCCCAAACTAGAATGAAGAGGAAATATTTGAAGACTAAGTTGCGAGGAACAGTGAGTTCTTCACGTAACTGGCAAATGCGAGCGGTGCTATAGCTCTTGTTACTGTTGCACACCTTCTCGAATCTGGTTTTCTATTCTTGGCCTCTTCATTCGATTGTACTTTGTTATTGATGTGCACTATGGCACTTTGTACCTCTGTTAAAGTTGAAGCCTTCTTAAATTCTTCACATGTGCCCCGGTCGAGATTAGAACTCCCAGTTCAGAATCGAGATTCTGCGGTTTGAATGCGCTACGAAATGAAAGAACTGAGAAAAAAGAAAGTCGCCAATGTTGGTGCATGGTGACTAATTCCCCCGTGGCATTTTTGTCTGTCCCT